ATTCTCGAAGATGCTCGTTGTTGAATAATCGGGCTACTTCCTCTCTCAATTGCGGCAATCCTCTGTTCTGTGGCCATGAATGCCATGATATTTATACATCTAGTTAGGATCCCTCTGGGACGGATCAGATTGTAATGGTGGAGGCCATTTGGTGTCCTTAATGCGTCCGATAGCTGATATAATGGCGGCACCATCGATATTAAAGTTGTATTCCGATAACCTCGATGCTTCTTTAGGCCCGATGGCCCATCAAAGCTGTTTTTGCTCATGAGTCCCCGATTGCTATGAACTCTGTCGCTTCTCCTTTTGTTTCTCATAGAGTTCTGCCCGGACCAGCTGCTTCTTCGGTCTCCATTATACGGCTGGTACCGATCCATGTTTGGTCTCGGTTCACGATCGATGTCTCTCTTGACTCTGTCGATGTTTCTAAAGGGATAAACAGACCTCGAAGGGCCTCGAATTGATCATCTTCCACTCTGATCTTCGATTGATACCGGTTATGCACATCGGCCCAAGTAACGGCCGGATATTCTGCCAGGTTTTGTTTTAACTGTTGTGAAGCCACTGAGCTTCGGATATTGAGTCCCTGAGTGAAAGCTTGAACAATCCAATCATCAGCAACCGGTGGTAGGTCCATCCTTTCCATCTAAAATCGGGATACGAACTCTCTGAGCATCTCGTTATCTTTCTGTTTTACTTTGAAAAGTTCCGACTTCCTGGTCTCGACCTTGATGGCACCAGCATTTGCTTTCACGAAAGAATCTACAAGCATAGCAAATGAGTCAATAGAATTAGGAGGTAAGTTGTGATACTATATCATAGCTCCCTTTGACAGGGTCTCTCCAAATATTTTCAGCAGAACAGAGGTTATATGCTTATTTGGGTCGGTCATTCCGTTATACTTGGGTATCTCGGGCATACTGAATTTCTTAGGGATCGGCTTCGGAGCCGCGCTCGGAGGAAAAGGTCTTTGCACGAACTTCTTGGAATCTAGGCCTTTCAATATCGGTGGTGCTCATGGGATCTAGTATACCTTGGAATTGTAGGTTTCCATCTTTTTGTCATTAGTTTCGATTTTCTTCTTCCCCGATTCTATCCGTTTTGTCAATTCTTCGAGCATCTTTATGATCACGGGGTTAGCCCCCGATTCATGTTCATTCGACCTTTCGGCGATCGGTTCATCCCTGCGGGTGACTTTCCGGGGTAGATCGGGTTCAACTCTGCTCAGTGCACGGCTTTGGTTCTGTAACTGAGCTATCACCGCTTGTTGAGCCTGCAACATTTCGAAGATCACCCGCAAACTGATCCCGCCCTCTTCAATGTTTTGTATATTTTGAGTTGCCGATCGGACTCCACCACAGACGCTATTCTCGGGGTCAGTTGGCAAGTTTGCGTCGATAGCCACATGTAAATTAGCGTCAATTGGGTCTGCTGCCGGAATTTCGACGGGATCAGCGGGCGGTACCTCATTACCGGGTGCTACGTTGTTATTTTCACCGTAGTAACCGGACTCGTTATCAACATGTAGGGGTGCTGATTGAGAGTTCGACATTTTGTGTTTTAACCTGCAATCAGAGACACTTCAAAGAGCAAGCATAAAGTAGTGTGTGTTATGGAGATTTGTATCAAATAACCACTATTATCCTTAGCCCCACGGTGGGCGCGAAACTTTTTACCCTCAAAATCGGATAACAATTAGATTTGTACGTGGTTTTAAGGATACGTGATCTAACTTTATACAAAATGATAAATCAGATTGGAATTGAAATAAACAATGGGAAAGTAAATGCAAACCACACAGGTTGAACTGTCTTAGCCTTAGAAGGTTAGACGCCCTCGAACCAAAAGTGCTTTTATTGATATCAGAACAGAATGACAAGAGAATAATGAGAACTAAAAATAACAATATATTGCTTTTGAATGCGAGTTACAGTGTGTTTCACAAGTAATCAGACCCCCTTTATATTGTAGGGGAGTCCTACTTTAGGAACAATTCTATAAAAGGTAAAAGTCTCCTAGTTTGCTGATTTGCCGGTTCCTTATTGATACATGCCGAGATTCCCGCCGTGATATCCGACCGTTACGGATATTTCGGCCTTCCGTTATTTCGGCCTTTTGTTGGTTATACTGGCTATGTTTCCTCGAGCTTATTCTGGGTCAGGGTCGATTCCGGGATTATGGACTCAATGTTCTCGAGGACGGACATTCTGGCCTCGTGTTCTGATTCGATGAGACTCGGGGTCGATCTTCAACCTCTTGCGTTCCGAGCCCGATCTGTCATGCAAAAGTCGAGCCGGATTTCGACCGTATAGAGATGTTTCAATTATAAGGTTTGATTTTCTACATTTATATAATTAAATAAACTCTATTCATTTATACAACGTCAATAAATTATGTTTTATAAATGACTATTTCAAAATGATTATAGTGCGAGGTCAGAACATCGTGCACTTAGTTAAAGTTGAACCATCATTTCGAACCTAGCAATCATAACAAATTATAATGGCCACCACTTTTAATTGTCTGACAACTACTCTTTCCAATGATTTAGCAGCACAGCATTCCGGACTTCAGATAATTTTCCAACAAGCACTATATAGTTGATATCTCAAATTATTTTCGTGGTATCTGCATAACATTAAATTAAGATATTATTTAATTTAAACCAGAAGGGATAACCTATTTTGGTGTCACGGCGCGGACACACCAATAAAATATAATTTCCTCCGCCCACCTCGTTTCTCGCTTGTCTATTTCTTTTTTACACCGTCCACCCACCGATCACCAAAATTGTCTAAGCATTGGTTGTCCATCCTTGAATAGAATAACGTTTATAATAACCAACAATATTTAGAAATTCAGAAAATATACTATGTGTTTTAGTTTGACCGGACATAGAATATAAAAAATACAAAGATTTTTGAATCTGATAATCTTAAATGAAAAATATGTCTAATGTATCAAAATATTGGGGGATTTGCATCTATACCCAGATTTTGGTCACATTTTAACTTATACCCGCTTTGCAAAAAAAATTGCAAGCGTACCCACTTTTCGGGTAACTTCAGACATACGGGCCTGAAGTAGCAAAAATTTATGTCTTAAGTTTGAACTTCAGAATGTTTTGCCTGAAGTGTAACCTTATCAAAGCAAAACTTCAGATATTTTTGTATGAAGTTTGGCCTGACTTGCAAAGGCAATCACGCAAATTTCTGTTCATAGTGCAATGACAAACTTCAGTTCAATAAAACTACAGCATGTTTTTGGCTGGAGTTTTTGTTTTGTAATTGCTGGATTTTAGCATTCTAGGAGTTGAAGTTTTATTTTTTTAATTGCTGAACTTCAGCATTCTAAGAGTTGAAGTTTTGTTTTGTAATTGCTGAACTTCAACATTCTAGGAGATGAAGTTTTATTTTGTAATTGCTGAACTTCAGCATTCTAGGAGCTGAAGTTTTGTTTTGTAATTGCTAAACTTCAGTATTCTAGGAGCTGAAATTTTATTTTATATTTGCTGAACTTCAGCATTCTAGGAGCTGAAATTTTTGTTTTATATTTGCTAAACTTCAGTAATCTTAGAGCTGAAGTTGTGTTCTGCCTTTCTTTGAAGTTAGATGGCTTTAAAATATAACTTAAGCCAAATTGTGTTGAAGCTTTAACTGATTTTTTTGATAATGTTCTGAAGTTATTTTTTCTATCTTTTATTTTTCAGTTCTGCAGTCATTTTCTGTTGTTTTTCCTGCAGATGATATCATAAAGCAAGGGGTAAGCTAATTCCAAGGGATCGCGAGAGCAACTATTGTGTATAATAAATTTCACATGCATGTGCCATTCTTGTGGCAGGTAACTTGGAAGAGAGGACATGTAGTAGTGAGTTGTTGTTGTATGTTTAAGAAGGATGGGTCAGGGAAAGACACAAATCACATCTACTTTAACCAGCTTGTGGAGTTTTATTTACTCGTCCTTCAACATAGAATATGGTAGTTGATAAGATTTTTAATAAAAACTTTACAGATCTAAACAATAATACTTATACAAAGTCTCATGTGTTTGAGAGAGAAAAGAAGAAGAAGAAAAGAAGAGGAGGAAGAAAGGAGCGCATAGGTCAGGAGGAAGAAGAGGAGGCGTCTGAAGTTGTCAAAATTAGGATATAGGTTAAAGAATTTTAAAAATATAGATATAGGTTAAATGAGGGCAACCAAATAAGGCACCCCGTGCAATTTTTACCAAAATATTTGTTGAATCTTATGGTCTTAAACCTGAAATATAAGATGGTGGAATTAAAGAGTTAGTAGGACAAATAAATTGAAAAAAAGATGGAGTAGTAGCCATTGAATAAATCAACTCTTTGAAATACATGGACATCTGGCAGATGTACTATTCTTTAGGCCAATAACACAAACTTGAAGATTCATTTATAGTTGTATCCGATCTGCATGATCTTCGGATCTTGCATGCCTCATTTTTAATGATACCGTGGTCTTTGGCTGAAGTGGACTTATCAAGTGGGGGAGAAAAGGGATTAAAAAAAGTTTAAGTTATTTACATAGTAAGTATAAGAAATCGCACGACATTTTTACTTGTTGTACCAGTTAATCTATCTTATTTTTAATATTACGAATCCCAATTTTTGAGGTTGTTAGGAAATACGCTAATATCCCCTCCCTTTCAAGTTTTTTTCAGTTTATATATTTCTAGAATGTCGATCACTAAAACCGACGATACAGAGCAAAAATGAAGGAGATGACAATCTATTGAATAATAGAATTACCAAAGTTTATAAGAATTGTTTCATTTAACCACGAATACTGTAATCCTTTCTTTAGTGACTATTTCTAAGCGAAAAAGTTTCACGAGCTGCCTGATATGGGAATACAAGTTAAGAGCATTATCTGTCTTTTAAATGTAATTCGAAGCCTAACCCCCCAACACCAAAGGCACTAGCCTTTGTGATGGCTTAATTTTAAAAAAAAATGCAATTTGAAGCTAGCATACAAGTTAAGTGGATACACAAATTAAAACTCTTATTAAACAATAAATAGAAATAGATCGACATACAAGTTTATCCTCTGTGGTAATTAAGAGAAACCATAATACATAGTATTCAGTATATGATGTCCTGTGTTTTCATGAGGTACGTACTCATGAAATCCATTTGTTCAAGCATTACTAATATTATTATCATTAATTCAAACATTATTTTGATGGGAACAATCCCAGTTTTAAACTCCAAAGCTCTCTAGAAGTCATACTCCTCGCGATCCATGAGAAGCCAAGATCCATCTTTTTGTTGAACCATTCCTTTGTTCTTCTCAACCAACCAACGCCCGGGAATTCCATATTCATCTTTTAGTATGTCCCACTGCTTGTTGACAAGTGAGATATCACGATCCACTTCTAGTTTAAAACCTCTTAAACCTTGAGTCCCTGCAATTCCATGCAAGTATGGCTCCAACAAATGCCAGCTAACAACTTCTCCAGGAGGCTTTACATATGGGGATTTTGTGGTGTCAATCATTAGTTCCTCGCCCACGTCTATATAGCCAATTGGTGGTACCTTCGGAACAACATCCCATAGATTATGGATTCTCAAAGTACGGACACTTTTCAGTTTGTCAAATGCTGCCTTAAATTTGAGATCCCCAACTTTAGGACTTGCGAATGCAAAAGCTGTCACTGGAAATTCCCTGCCTTCACTTGTTTTGTTGATACCATTGAAAGCTATGTCAACCGCGTTTAGGGTTGCAAGTGACGCACCTAGGCTATGGCCAGTTACAGTAATACTAACCTCTTCATTCTTATATTCCTCAACCAATCTTTTCACTTCTTCAATTACCTAAAAGGAAGAAAAATGATGAGCTGTTAGACTCTTTAGCTAGCTTCACCAAGGCACGTAATACTTTTCTCTTTTTGTTTTCAAGGTCCATCCCTTTGATAAAAATTAAAACAAAGAAAATTTCAAGTGTGAATCACTATAACATAAAAGCTCTTCAGATAAAATAAATAAAAAGAAAAGTTCATCATTTACTTCGAATTAGTACTATTTACGGTCAAATGAGGCTTGTAGTTAAAACACAAATATAATCATTAAAAGTCTGATATTGAAAAAAGAAAAATACTTTATCATATTCATGTAAAAACACATGGAAGTATTATCAAGCAATTAAGTAAACATGAACCTGATCCCTGGCACTAGTATGATTAAACTGTGATCGTGGATTATTTGTTGTATAAATGTTGTAGAAGCCGTGATGTACCAAAGGTTGGAGCAAATGAAGCAAACCTCGATCACCAAAGACTTTGGGTGCTGGGACAGCTGCAAATTGAAAGTTATTAACCCACTCCAACTTCTCCATAGTTCCTCGCCAAGCAATCACAATATCCCTCCTTCCCAGTTCAACTTTACCCTCATCAGTAGCCACAGCTACATACCCCATAAAATTTGATTCCTTACTCCATGCTTCCAATGACAATGATCTTACAAATAAACCATCAGGAAGTGGAATCGATGAGGTAGCATAGAAAAATTTGGTTACGCGATATTTCAATGGATCAAGTCCGACCCTAGTAAAAAGATTCTCCATTGAGTATCTACTAGCTCCTGCATTTTTTGACTTCTCCTCTGTAATGAAAGTATCATAAGTTGCTTGAGCCAATTCCCCATACTGAATGAGATATTTACGAAGATCAAGATCCAAGGGATTTAGTAGCCCTTCCCAATTATTTTTTCCACTAAGTTGCTCCCATTTCTCAGCCATGCTAGCCATGTCTCGATCTCCCCTATTTTCCTTTTCTGTATTTTTTCTCTTTGTTGCTTCTTAATTTCTTATGATATGCTCTTCATTTTGGCCATCTCGAAATGCCAATTTATACTTCACTTTTTTAGTGTTTGTCAATTGTCATGAAACACGCTTTTGATTTTTTAGTGTTAACAAGGTCACCATCTCAACGTCGTCAAAATGAGCATATATATCAACGTGCGGATTCCAATTGTTTCCGTTTTCTTAATCTAAAGTTTTATTACATTGTCGATTTAGACATCTGATCGACTGACCGGACTTTCTCAAATGCCCTCAACTGGCTGTAAAAGATTATTAACTTTTTTTGAGTCACTCATGCACACTTACAGCTGAAAATAATGCACACTTGCTATACAAATTGTTTTTGACTGTGGTAAATCTGATTTATTATTAAAATGAGCACTTGATGATTTCATATATAGTTTGACTTTTATGGGGAAACACAATCCCATATTCCAATCATGTAGCAGATCGTTAAGTAGCTTTTGATATGGTAAGAAATATCTGAATTATTAATAAGTGTATTATTAGACCCATTTCTAGTGCCAACTTACACACTAAGCCCACACCTTTTAAAGCAGGCCAGATAAAAGGAAATACAAAAAGTACCCTAGAAAATAGGGACATGCCAAGAGGCAGTATCATTGGGAAAGTTTATAAATAGAAAAAAGCAACGTGGATGGCAATATGGCTTATATGTAGACACGTCATATTGTCTCAAATTTTATTGCTGGGTTTGCTAATATTTTACTCGTAATCAAGTAATATTTTAGAAATCTCTACTTAAAGGGACGCGTCATTTTCTGTTATAAATAATAATAAGAATAATATAATACTAATATAATTAGCTATCATATTTCAGTAACTTGTTGGAGGTAGATAAATTATTGTTTCTGTAGATAAATTACTGTTCAAACTAATTATTTTCTTTTGGTTAGTTGCGCGGTCTCACTCTATGTTGCATCACAATATTGGTGCACTTTTAGTTTAAGTAATAAGGTAAATCTGGAAGTTTTACTATATATAAACAAAAAGCGAATAAAAAAAATTGAAGTTCACTTTTTAATAATTTAACATTGTTTAGAACTAAAATTTGTTCTAAAATACTTTTGGTTGATAATACAATGATGCAAAAAAAAAAATATGTAAGCAAGCATATCAGAAGTTTTATTTGTAGCTAAGTACGTAGATACAATTTATGTAACATCTATATTAGAAAACATGACAGTTGATTTTCTGATATCCATGCATTCTATTTGTCTAACTACAGAATAGGTTACGCTTGATCTTCCCCAGTATGTTAAGCAAGTTGTGAGAACTAAAAAACCCTTTAACACTTTGTATATAACTTTAAAACTTATTTCTAATGCCACTTTAATACTTAGCATGTGATCATATAAAACTTTTACTCACTTATTAGAACAAGAGATTTACCTGTAATTACATAATAGTTACTACTAATACAAGGTGCCCGAGATGGAAATACAAGGAAATAGTGGACCAAACCATAACTCAATTCTCGCACACTCTAACACAAACTATATCCAAGAAGTGAGCATGCAATAATGTAAGGGCCATTCACCGCTGCTTATTTTGTACAAGTACTTAAAAGCATGAAATTTTTCAGAAAATGCATGTACTCCCATCCGTTTTAATTTAGATGAGCTAGTTTGACTCGGCACAAAATTTAAGAAAAAAAAGATATTTAAAACTTGTGGTCTTAAAAACGTAAGTGGTAAAAGTTTTGTAGGACCATGACATTTGTTTGGTTATAAAAGCTTTTCATTAAGGGTAAAATGGGTAAAATAAATAGTTTAAAGTTGAATTATCTCTAAATTTAGAAATGTGTCATTTATTTTGAAACATACTAAAAAGGAAAACATCTCATCTAATTTGAAACTGAGGGATTAATAAATAGGGCAGGAGTTGTATTAAGCAAAAGATAACAGAGGGGGGTTAGACCTTACCTCAAAATACAACACAAGAATGAAAAAAAGAGAGTTGGTAGATTATATCAGATCCTACTCCATATCTGCTACGTCTTAACTTACAAAGGAATCGGCCTTATCATATCTAGTCTTAATGCTTGGAAGTTGACACTTATCTAGTTGAAAAGGACCCTTAGCATGTTTAGGAAGATCCTGAAAAGTGTAGTAGAATGAGTCTTTCCCGGAAGTAGCTGCCAGCTTTGCCAAGAAGTCCACAACTTGATTTGCTTCCCGGAAACAGTGAGTTATGGTTGTGTTGGCAAGGTTCAGGTTCATGTTTTGTGCAATGTCTTCAATCACTCCTTTAAGCTTGTAGTTGTTGGTATGCTCCTCTTGACTCATTTTAGTAACTATCTGCGAGTCTAGTTCCAAAGCCAAATTGGTATACCCTTTATGAGTACACCATTGGAATCCAAATCTAGCCGCTAATGCCTCACTCAAATTGTTACTACTGCATTTAGTTGATATATTGGTGAAAAAAAGGCATTACACGTAGAATATTAGAAAGCTGGTGAAACATGACACGTGAAAGAACGATATAGCGATAAGTGACACACTCAAGTGGAACTAAGAATACAAGGAGGGTACAGGAGAAACACCCACAAGACAGTACAAAGAAAAGAACCGGACCTGACAGTTATCAAAGAAAAGGCGTGAGCGAAATGAATAAAGGTTAAAAAGAGGGGAAGATACACGAACCAGAAGTAAATAAAGAAGGTAAATCAGAGAAGTTATAAGGAATCTACACCTATAAATATGTCAGTTACGGTTATCCATGATAATGGGCAATCAATATAATTAATGCCATAATGAATCCAAACTAAGTGTGAAAACATTTATGATTATACGCTCTTCTAGCAGGATAAAGAATTTCATTTGTAGAAAACGATTACGATTACTACTGAAATACATTTCATTATTCTCTGCTTTATCAAAGTTTCTAGCCTTGATTTTAGGGATTGATTGTTGATTCATTCCTTATTTCTCTTTGATAATTTTCTCTATTACCTTTGTTATTTTTCTAAAAGGTTATTGTGGAAGTGAAGTAAAACTTGGTTATGAGTAACCCGTTTTCTCCTAAATATAGACTTTAACTGAAAAATTTATTTTTTGCTAAATAAATTGGTTCCGTTACCAGGAATCTGATAATCTTTTTACTTTTCAAATTCTGCTTTCTGACAACCAACTATGTCAATTGTTAACAGCAATAACCAGTTGAACCCACAGGAGGGAACTCCACCACTCCTCTCCCCAAAGGGATCCCCTCGACAATCCCGTGACGGTTCACCTGAAAGATCTACATCACGCGCTAATGATCAACAAGGGGACGAACAAACTGTCAAACAAGACGCTCTAAAGCAATTGATTGCAGAACACTTGAATAGTGATCTTCAAGACTTTGTTAGAGGATTTCCTAATGCGCCACAAACTCCTCCACCAGTCAATACAACAACCTTAGAAAACCCAGGCTTGGGGCTCGACAATTCTGGATGTGGAGGAACTCCGAATGAATCTCGTGATTAAGGGTCAGGTACACCTAATAATTCTGACTTACAAAGTTTGGTACTAACTTTGCAGAAATAATTGAAGGAGAAAAATGATCGCATAGAGAAAATACTTGGCGTGCCGCCCGAGATCAAAGGAGTAGATATTGATAAATATTCACAACAACCCTGGAAGCCAAATGCAGCACCTTTGCCTATTCCTAAAAAGTTTAAAATGTCTGATATTCCAAAATATGATGGAACAACTGACCCTCGAGATCTCGTAACTGTGTTCACAACTGGCGTGAAGGGAAACGTTAACCAAGCAAGAAATCGAATCAGTTTTGGTTTAAAAGTTTGGTGAAACACTCACAAAATGAGCATTAACGTGGCATTCTCTTTTACCTGAAAACTCTATTGATTCTTTTGCTGAGATTACAGATTCATTTATAAAAGCACATTCGGGAGCTCAGAACGTTGAAAAAAGGATGGAAAACATCTTTAAGGTAAAACAAAGGAATACAGAGTTACTCAGGGAATTCATAGATAGGTTCCAACGGGAGAGGATGATGTTACCTTGAGTACCTGACAACTGGGCAGCTATGGCGTTCGCGAGCAATTTAAACGAGAAAAGTTCAGAAGCCACGAGGAGGCCGAAGAAAAGTTTGGGAGAATTTCCAGCAACAACTTGGAACGATGTGTACAACATGTACAATATGAAGCTGCGAATAGAAGAAGATACAGTTGCACAGCCAATGGCTGATGAAATAGTAGGATCGAGAGGTTCAGAATAAGAAAAAAGGACCGGAAAGAACATGTACGAGCCTTACATAGGACCTGCGGGGTGATACTCTCGATCTAAACAAGAAAATGTACTATTTGACTCAAGATCAATGCAAAAAGATACGAGTTCTTCATCTAGATTCAGAAAGGAGCAGGATACACGAGGCAACGATTCCAATACACATACGAGGATTGGAGATTACAGCTTTAATGTCAACACCTATGAGTTAGTAGTAGTTTTAAGAGGTATGGGAGATAAGGTGCGGTGGCCTAAAGAGATGAGATCAGGTCTGAGCAAAAGGAATCAAGATTTCTGGTGTGAATTTCACAACGATCATGGCCATAGAACAACAGATTGTAGATTACTACAGGGAGAAGTCGAGCATTTGCTGAAGCAAGGTTATCTAACTGACCTATTCAGGTTAGAAAGGAAGACAATCATACATGAAGAACAGACAGGAACCTCCGAAACCTCTATCACCAAAAAGAATAGTCAATGTAATAACCGGGGGAGATGAGGTCAATGGTGTAACATATACAGCTGCAAAAAAGATGTCAAAAGTCACGGTCACTCATGGGAAGCATGTTCGCCAAGTCTTGGATGGAGACAGTATAACATTTGATGATGAAGACGTGGACGACTTGATGATTCCTCATAATGATGCACTAGTAATATCTTTACTTGTACACAATATTAACGTAAAACGCAATTTGATTGATCCAGGTAGTTCAGTGAACATCATTTTACTAAGAGTGGTGAACGAAATGCAAGCTGATGACAAAGGGATTCCAAAGGCACGGTCTTTATTCGGGTTTGATAATTCAAGCTTTATCACAAAAGGAGAAGTTTTGCTCACTACGTT